GGGGCTTGTCCCCAGATGTCCCACAGACGTGACAGCTAGCATGTCCCAAACCAGGTCACCACCTCTCCAGCCCTCCTCTTCCTGGGTGATGGGCTGACGGCGTGGTCCAGGTCTGCCCCTTGGGCCCTTCTCAGCAGCCAGAGTAGCCACACAACACCCACCATCATCCCCCTAGCTTCATTTAAGAAGCATCAGGCCAACCTTCTAGCCTAGTAGTTAAGGGAGCCAGCTCTTACATGGTAAACCCTGGATCGAATCCCAGCCCTGGTGTCTTGAAAATGAACCAACTGTGTGTGTGTCTGTGCTCAAAATTCCAAAATAGAGGAGAAGAGATGCCAATGTGACCACACTCCATTTCTCCCTCTGTCTCTCTCTGGTGAGTGCATGTGCCCTCCAGCAATGAAGAAAGAAAGAAAGAAAGACAGATAGAAAGGGAGGAAAAGCAAAAAGAAGCCTTTTCTGTGGTCCTGCTGGAAAGGGTCTTTGATGCCTGCTCACCTGGATTCAGGCATCCTTGGCGTCCATTAGCTTTCCTTGAGACACAGAGAGCCCCACCTGGTCCTCAGAGGCCACATCCATGTCACCTCACCTGGGAAGTTGTCCCTTATCCATTCTACTGTCAGATGGGGCCTTCTCCATGGAGGGGATGGATGGATGGTGGTTCTCTGTGCTGGGGTGGTGGGAGCTTGTTGTCTCTGTCTTCTCAGGAGGTATGTACCTGGGCTACCTGGGCTTTGCTGCCTGGGCCTGGGTCCAGGCCGTGGTCAGGGCCCAGGGTCTGGCCTGGCCACCTGGAGTCTGTGCTCTCCTTGGGATTACTAGGTTGGAGCAGGGTTCATGTACAGGAGAGGTCAGGGCCCTGGAGGCCATCACTATGGGCTCACTATCTCCTTCCTCTTGTGTCTAGCTTGGAATAGAACTCGGAAATGTGTCCTGCTCTGTGTCACTTGGCCTCCTCAGGCCTCCCCTGCACCCAGGTGTTTGGGCCCTAAGGCCAACCTTGGTGAAATCCTTAAAGTGCCCACCAGGTGGCGACAGAGATGAGTTGGCTTGGCCTGACAGGTACCCAGAAGGCAGGAGGCCCTGAGACCTGGGGGAGGCCGAGGAGACAGGGAGAACTCCTGCTTGTGGTCACCCTGCCACATAGCTATTCTAGCCTCTGCCAGACTGAGAGCATTTTATCTTCTTCTTGGCCCTGAGTGCCCATCCCTGAGTTTTCTCTTTCCCATCACCTCTGGGCAGGGGCCACCTGTGTCTTCCCTTTCATTGCCCAAGTCTTGGGTCTTGCTGCTTCATTCACCATCCATCCTCTTGGGTGAGAACTCTGCTCTTCCTCCAGGGCTCTCTGCCTTCCTCTGAAGCCATGACGCTCTAACAGAGGGGGTTTCAAGCACTGCAGTGGGTGGGTCCCCTCCAGCATACTGTGGGATTTCCTCCTGACCTTCACACAGCTCAGGCAGCCTGTGGGGCCCCTGATCGGAAGGCAGTGATTCCTTCCTCTGCAGATACTTTGCTTTGACAGATCTGCTGGCTTTTCTCCTCCCCTCTTCTTCTAGCCTGAGGTCATCTCTCAAGGAGTCCTGCCACTTCTCTGACCTTGTTCTCTGCACAGCCTTCCACCTCGGTTTTCCTCAGCACCCCTGGGCTGGATGTCCTCCAGGGCAGAACAGGAGGCAGAGGGCTCTGGGCCATCCCCTCCTCGTTAGCCACTCAGAGCTGCATGATGCCATGTGGCACCCTCCCCTTTGTGCAGGTGGAGAAAATGATGCCCAGCCAGGGCAGGGGCCTGCTCACGATCTCTGAGCAAGACTGACACAGAACTGGGACTAAAAGCCCAGAATTGGGTCTTCTGGGCCTTACTAAGAAGTATGGGGGTGGAAGAGATTTCTGGAGCCAGTTCAGAGAGCTATTGGCTAGAGGTGACAGGGGAACCAGACTGCGAGTGATGGAGTGTGGGCACACTGCCTGACTCGTCTGTCACCCCTGGGTCCTGGAGTGGTAGGGGAGTGAGTCTCTCAAGGAAAAATGCAGCAGGACCCACGGTCCCCTACCCCAGCTGCTCCCCACTGCCAGCACCTCATTGGGGGGTCACCACTGTTGATCTGGGCAGGGAGAGGGGAGGAAAGGTGTTGGCATACTCTCTCTCGCAGGCTTGGGGGTGCTGAATTCAAGGTAAGGGCAGCCTTCTCCTCAGTCCTCGCTAACCACGCACAGGGCAGAGCATGAAGTGGGACCTTAGATGGACAGCCCGCCACTGCTGGGTAGGCTAGGTGACCGGTCAACGTGCGTGCCTTCACAGTGACTCTGCTCTCAGTCTGACCGCCCTGGCTTAGGTCATTGTGGGCGCTTGGTGACGGGGCCTGGAACGGTGCTGAGAAGGACCAGGCACTGAAGGAGGCTTGCAGGTACACCTGCGCCTTTGCCAGCACGTCCCAACCCATTACTTTCCTACCACCTTTATCCTCTTCCTGATCCTTCAGCAAGACAACCTCCCTGCAAGTTTACGGGAGGCAGAAGGGAGGGCAGCTCGGGCAATGGCCTTGGAGACATCCACTGACGTCATCCACTTCTTCATGCTACCTCGGCTTCTAGAACTTTCTGTTACTCACAGGGTCTCTGCTCAGACACTGTGTTCTGGCATCTTGTGCTGTCTTCCACCTACCCGCTCTGGGCTGAACCCCGGGTCCTGGTGTCACAGTCATCTTATACCCTGTTTGCTCCTTGTCTGTGAGGGTGACCGCGGCCTGCGAAATGCTCACACTTCACTGTTTCTGGGACCAATGGCAGCTCAGAAAGCTGTCTTGGATTGATCCAAGACTAGAGCTGATCTCCTCTTGGCTAGACTTCGGGGGTGGAGGGACACAGTGGGGGCCTGGTCTAACTGATCACAGTCAGAGGAGAGGATGCGGGGCTGGCCCCATTGCCTAGTGGTTAGGGAACTGGATCCCACCCAGCTGACCAGTTTGAATCGTGGCCTCGCACCACTTGAAAAACATACCCAGCACATGAGTGTGTGTGCCCTAAATCCCGAGAGGATGGTGAGATGGAGAAGGGATTGTGGTGGGATTGGGGACTGGGGGGGTGCTTTCTTCCCTCACTGGCTAGCACACATGCCCTCTGGCAGTTAAAAAAAGGAAAGAAAAAGAAAAAGAAAAGATACCACTTAGAAAGATAAGTTAAAAGCTCTCAGAACTGTGTGCTTCTCACACGGAATGTGTGGGGTTTTTTTGTCCAAAGCCAGACAGATGGTGGCATCTAGTTTCAGCCATGTTTTGGACCGCCCCTCCTTGGATTGGGGTTGATGGCTGCAAGTTAGAAGCCAGTCCCCACTTTAGGCCTTGTGGGAATGTCAACCACTGGGGAAACCAAACCAATCTAAGCCAAAATTTATTGTCACACAAGCATGTCACAGTCCTGAGATCTGCTGCTGGTGGGGCCATGGGTAAGAAGCTGCGTGGCCACAGGGATGCAGGGCAGGCAGAGGATACCACGAACACCCGGCTTTGGTCCCGATCATACGTGAGCTGGACGACTCCTTAGCCACACTCCAGGAAGGGGAGGACGGAACCGAGGACTCAGGAATAACCGTAATAACAATATCAGTGACCATACAAATAACCAAGAGTCCAACTGGCTATAATATATAAAAGGTAGTGTTTGTTAAAAGTCTGTGCTTTTGCTTTCCCATCAGCTGGGTCTGAGTTCAAGTCTTGTCTACGGCAGGCTGAGGTACCTGCTCTCTGGGACTCAGTTTCTTGATCTGCAAAATGGGGACAGTAAGTCTTGCCTTGTGAGCTTGATTTAGGGCCCATGGGGGCACATCTCCGAGCCTGGATGGAAGAGTTGGCACATAGGTGGGCAGTCAAGGAGGGCAACTCTTTTTTTTTTTTTTTTTTTTCAT